GGGAAAAAAGGGACGTGGGGGGGGGGGCGGGAAGGAAGGAGACGCGCGAGCAGTGCTCTATTCAAAACGAGAACCCAACGCAGGAGGGTTGGGAATAAGTTTGGTTTTGGTTGCGGCACAGAGGGATTTTCTGTGTAGAATTGGGTTTCCAGTATGGCGGCCTTACACAAGGACTTCCAGTTTGTAGTTTTTTTAGGGGGACACCAAGGAACACGAGAGAGACAGTTTGTACTGTTTTCAAAGATTTGGGTGGCGAAGGCTGAACCACTGCAGAAGCATTGCAATTTCAGCCATCGTAGTTCCGAAACGCTGTTAAACACAGCGTTCTCAGCCATCGGAATTCCGAAACGCTGTAACACGCGACGTTTGCAGCCATCGGAGTTCTGAAACGTTGTGCGAAACGTCGTGCTTTACAGCGTTTCGGAAGAACTCCGATGTTTGAACCGTTTTTTTTTTTTTTTTTTTTTTTTTTTTTTTTTTTTTTTTTTTTTTTTTTTTTTTTTTTTTTTTTTTTTTTTTTTTTTTTTTTTTTTTTTTTTTTTTTTTTTTTTTTTTTTTTTTTTTTTTTTTTTTTTTTTTTTTTTTTTTTTTTTTTTTTTTTTTTTTTTTTTTTTTTTTGTTTTTTTTTTGTTTGTTTTTGTTTTTGTCTTTTTTTATTATCATAAAAACAAAATATATGTATATTAACATATATCTATATATGATAACAATAAGGCTTATATATAATTACATATATATATATATGTATATGCATATTGAATCATTCCCTATACACTATATGCATATATACACATATATATGTATACACAGATGTGTTATCTCTTCCAACTTGGTGTCATGGTTTTATTTGATTTCCTTTGTATCCCCCTGCAGCACCAACAACAAGGAAACCTTTTTGAAACGGTCGCCACATAACATACTATTTTTACAAGGCCGCCGCAAAAGAGGAAGTGGTTTACGCTCCGCGAGTCCCCGGCAGCCCATCCAGAAACCCTGCCCACGAGAGCTGACGGGAAGTGGAAAACAGACGCGTATAGTAAAACAGAGCGGTCAAAGAAAGGAGGGGGAGGAGCTTGTTGAGCCATGTTGGAGGCTATCTTGGGGCATCGGAGGCCTTCTTGGAGCTACTGGGCTTTTTGGGGGCGTCTTGGGGTCCTCTTGGAGCTTTTTTGGGGCATCTTGGGGCCCTCTTGGGGCTCTTTTGGGGGGTCTTAGGGTCCTCTTGTGTTTTTTTTCGGGCGCATTTGGGCCCTCATGGGGCCCTCTTAGGCTCTCTTGGGGCTCTCTTGGGGCCCTCTTGGGAGCTATGGAGCGTCTCCTGGGGCCATCTTGGAGACCATCGATCAAACGAGGGGGTGTCCTAGATTTTCGTCGCGCCTCCAGGACCATCGAAATAGCCTCTTGGGGCGCTCTTGGGGCCCTCTTGGGGCGATCTTGGGCGCTCTTTGGGCCGTCTTGGGGGCCTCTTGGTCCTTTCTTGGAGCTCTCTCGGGCCATCTTGGGGCCATCTTGGGGCCATCTTGGAGCCTCACAAGCGCATTGGAAGCGAAACGGCGTCAAGGCCAAACTCATTGGTTTCCGCACGTGGCTTCTCGGGGAGGTCTTGCGGGGTATCCAGAACCACTTGGATCCGTCTTGTGGCCTTCTTCGGGCCTCTTGGAAGCATGTTGTTAGCTATCTTGAGCCATGTTGGGATATCTTGAGCGATCTTGAAGACCATCTTGGGCTTTCTGAGGCCCTCTTGGAGCCATCTTGGGCCAAAACAAAAAGGACCCTTTGATCGCTCGCGACCCCCCCTGTGCAGATCCGAGGAGGGGATAGGGGGAGGGGTAGACCCCTCCCCGAAGGGGAAGAAGGGGTTGTGGAAGAGGGAAGGAAGACATCGTTGGACCGCCGGTCGTCCAGAGGGCTGACGGGATTCTGTTGCAAGGCCGCTGCAAAAGGAATCCTTTTATAGGCCGCCACCAAAGGAAATCCATTGGTAAGGCCGTTGCAGAAGACATCCTTTTTTAAGGCTGCCACAAAGGAGATATCCTTGTATAGCCGCCAGTATGAGGCAGCCTTGTTCGAAATCCTGAAACGTGAAGTTCTCCAAATAGGCTTGCCCTATAGGAGTCCCAGTTTAAACCTTACTAATTTGCCTGTTGCCCCCCCCTTAATTCTCATGCCCCCCCTCTAATTCCTATGGCTATGCCTATGCTTTTGCCTATGCCTCCCCCCTAACTCCTGTGCCTGAGCCTACGCCTACGCCTACGCCTATGCCTATGCCTATGCCTATGCCTATGCCTATGCCTATGCCTATGCCTATGCCTATGCCTATGCCTATGCCTATGCCTATGCCTATGCCTATGCCTATGCCTATGCCTATGCCTATGCCTATGCCTGTGCACCACCTCTCGCTTGCTTGATCTTGCTTGCTCTTGCTTGCTTGCACTTGATCGCCGGCTCTTGCTTGCTTGTTATTGCTCGCTTGCGCTTGCTTGCTTGCGCTTGCTTGATTTTGCTCCTCCCGTCCTCCTCCCGCCCTGCTCCCGTCCTCCTTTCGTCCTCCTCCCATCCTCCTCTCGTCCTCCTCCTGCCCTCCTATCTATGCGGAGTCAGCGCTGGCTGATATGACTTGGTGAACTTGCGCGGTTGTTGGCAACTTCGCCTGCAAACTGTTTCAAACCCCTCGTCCCCCCCAGGCGGCATCGTGGGCCCGAGGGAGGGGAAACGGGGAGAGAGACATCCAATCATCTCACACGCCGTTCGGTAGAGGGAAACAATTAGTGACCACCCCTCCTGCCCCCCAAACTCAAGGTTGGCACGCGCGGGGGAGGCTGCGGTCGAGGTGCAACTCATCAGACCCACCACCAACTCTGAACACTGGGGGAGGGGGAGGCGTTCACAGATGAATCTGGCATGAGTGTTCGCTTTTTTTTTTCCGAGGCCTGTTTCACCCCTGACAGGCGGGGATCGGCAGAGATCTTCTCTCAGGAATGGGGCCTGCGGGCCGCTCTGGCGGCTCCCTGCTCGCAGTCGCGGCCCCGGCGGCGCCTCGTCCGCAGCCCCGTCGTCTGGGCCTGCGTGTCGGTCCGGCGGCTCCGTTCTCGCCGTCGCCGCCCCGTCGCTGCCTCGTCGCTGCGTTGCTTTGCACCGCTTTGCTTTGCCTTGCTCTGCCTTGCTTGACATTGCTTTGCGTTGCTTTGCATTGCATTGCTCTTTCTTGCTTTGCATTGCTTTGCTTTGCGTTCCTTTGCATTGCGTTTCGTTGCCTTACTTTGCGCTGCTTTGCACTGCATTGCTTTGCGTTGCGTTGCTTTGCCTTGATTCGCGTTGCTCTGCGTAGCTTTGCGTTGCGCAGCTTTGCGTTGCGTTGCTTTGCGTTGCTTTGCGTTGCTTCGCATTGCTCTGCAATTCTTCACGTTGCTTTGCATTGCTTTTCATCGAGTTGCACTGCTTTGTCTTGCTTTTCATTGCTTCGCATGGCTTTTCATTGCTTCGCATTGATTGCATTGCTTTGCTGTGCTTTGCTTTGCATTGCTGTGCATTGCTGTGCATTGCTTTGCGTTGCGTTGCGTTGCGTTGCTTTGCGCGCCTTGCATTGCGTCGCTTCGCTTTGCATTGCGTTGCTTTGCCGTGCTTAGGTTTGCTTTGCGTTGCTTTGCATGGCATGGGTATGCCGTGCTTCGTATCGCGCTGCATTGCTTTGCCTTTGCTTATCATGTCATTGATATCACCACATGCAGATAGCACCGCATATATGGAAAAACATCACTGTCGTATGTTGTGCGACACATAGTGCATAACAAATATTGCGCTTCATGTGTTGCACAACATGAATTGCACCACGCATATGGCACTACATATAATGCTCCACCTCGATTTGCACCACATATTGCTAGAAGCGCACTGTTTGGGATCCACGTTGGCTAATAAACACATCTGTAGACGTGTATACACATGGTTTGAGCGATCTGGCGATCTCAAAGCCGCCGCTCGTTGAAGGTTCGAACGATCCACGCGTTGTCATAAATTAGCGCCGGGGTCGTCACGACACGAACCTGTCGCATCAGCTCCCCTGGGTGCACCGAGCGTCGTGGAGGAGCGCCCCGATGCACCTGCCACCTGCCCTGTCGCTTCCACCATCGGTGTTTCCCCCCCCCGCGTCCTCCCCTTGCCATTGCTACTTCCCCTCCTCCTCCTCCTCCTTCTCCTCCTCCTCCCTCTCCTCCTCCCTCCTCCCACCTCCTCCCTCATCCTCTCTCCTCCTCCTCCTCCTCCTCCTCCTCCTCTTCCTCTTCCTCCTCCTCCT